AGGACAGTACACTAACAGTACAGACCAGTCTAGGCCAGTACAGTAACAGTACTGGTATAAGTACAGGCCAGTACACTAACAGTAACAGTACAATGACAGTACAGACCAGTACAGTACTGGTATAGTAGTATAACTATACTTACATGTACTACATCAGACTTAGAGCAACTCTTGAAACTGAACACAACCTTTCGTAAGTCCTGAATAATGAGAATAATGAAAGAAGATTAACCCATCACTCCTCCTCCTCCCTCTCTCTTACTTTACAGGCCTTCTCCTCTCTCTCTCTTTCTCTCCCTCCCCTCTCTCTCTTACTTTACAGATTATTTCCAGTTCATTTATTTTCTTTGGCAGAGTTGACTTGGCAGTAACAAGCCTCTTCTTATTACTGCTGACTAGACACAATATAAACAAACAAACAAATAAATAAATAAATAAAATTAATTAATAAATTAATAATATAAATAATAGTAAACACAAATACACTACATAATGTAAGTGTGTACAATACATGTATGAAAAGCTGCTACTTGTAAAGTTTAAAGTGTATTATAAAAATAACAAGTCAACAACACTCATAATGATAAAATAATAAATAAATAACAACAACAACAACACATAAGATGAATAAATACATTACAGTATACCCAACCCAACCTACTCTACATTGATACAGTATTAGTATACACTGGTACAGGTACATAATAATGACTGACTGACTGATGGGGTGGCTTACTAGTGTATGCTTGCAGTATCAGTCTCAATGGAATATAATGACTCTTGAATACTGAGGACCTATCCAATGGAGAGAGCTAAGAGGAGGAGGAGAGAGGGAGAGAGAGAGGGAGAAGGAAGAAAGAGGAAGGAAGGCAAAGAAAGATTGAGAGGTGATAAAATAAAGTAATGACACATTTAAAAGCTATTTGCTGTATATTAAAATGAGGTCATACTTTATCAGTGTTGAAAGGAGCAGGTTTGAATGATAGTCTGTGATTAGTAATGTAGAGTGTCCCATAGATATACCCAGGACTCTTATCAGGTCCCTCTGACTCATACAGTAACTGCTGGGTATCAGGAGCATGACCTACTAGTGCCTCTCCTGGAAATAATGATTAAGGGTAGATAGATTAGGCAACATGTACATGTAAATAATGTACATTTAAAGGTAAATAATGTAAATATACATCTACTCATTTACTATTACAAATAAACTTAATACTCACCAGGCAGTAGGTCAATGGATGAATCAGGTACTGATACTGTAGGGAGAGTAGCTGCTTTACTGGTCTTAGCCATTGACTGTGGAGGGGGGGGGGGCTGTAATTTAAGAGGTAATTTCAAAAGAGGACTGAGAAAAGAGAAGACATTTTGGGCACTGCGAGCTAGAGGGACGGAACATACACGCCTTCTTAATTGACCCACCCAATTCATTTTGTACAAGTTAAAAACTGTAAAGACAATTATAAAAATACAATTTAATTAATGCAAAAATCTAATGGAGTAGTTAAGCATCAATATTGATATTAAAATCAAATCCCAGTTCATTCCTAATAGCTTCAATCCAGTCCTCATGTAAAACCATTGCTGCAGCAGCATAACTGCCTCTTACAGCAACGAATGAGCTTAAAAACTTTTGACAGTGCTCCTGCACTTGAGGCAAATTCCTCATAAAATTAAGACTAGCCTTGAACTCTGATATGAATGCTTCCATTGAAGAATATTCCCTGAATTCCCTACGAATAAGATGAAACGTGTAAAGTTGATTCGCAAGATCAGGGACAGCTGCCATTGGTAGTGAATTGAGAGCAGCATAACGAGATATAAGAACATCATTGATCACTTTCTTAACTCTCTTAACATCAACAGTAGCTGATGGACCTAATAGAGGTCAAAGGTCAGTATATACACACAGTATTATCACTTACTAGCTCCTCCAGTGGATGATACTGATGTTGGGTCATGTACTACATTAGAGGAGGAGAAGGAGGTAGTAGGATCTGATTAATATTAAATAAATAAACAATTGAAATGATTTTACTTGTTGGAGGATAAATAGTTCTCCTTGATGCATGAATATATAATGTAATGGGATCAGCCACACCTTCCAGTGGAACAGAGTAATGTAGTGTAGGGACAGCATCAGGTGATTCATACACTGATACCAAACAAGATGAAGGAATAGAATAATTATTAGCTCCACCAAATTTGTCAATATCGAAGCGATGCAACTATAGATTAATTTAAAATAATTTAATAATTGCACTATTACACATGTATTTCAACTTACTTTACAAGTCTCATAGTGTGGCTGTATAGTCCAACCAGTGAATGACTTCATTTGTAGAGTATCAAGTTTCAACTCAATGCAATCACTGGAAGACTGAAATTTGAAGTAAACAGTCTGTCCTATTTCTGCTTGAGAATAATTCTGATGAATAAACTGTATACAAAAGCATGTTATATAATGTATGGCAATCATCAATAAAGTGTACCTCAACAAGAGCATTCAGATCTTTAGCTGCAGTGAACTTCACTAAATTCTCCACACCTCTATACTCATAATGCCTTATTATGACATAATTCATACACTCTGATATACAGGTACTGGGTGTGTATACATCAATAGCTGGAAGGGGCTGGGCCAAGACTAATAGATTTGCATTAATAAAATACAGGTAAATTTTTGCTAAGTTGAAATTGAAATACCTGAAAGGTGGTCCTCTTCCTCCTCTTCTTCCTCTGTGTCTCCTTCATAATCAATAACTGATGCTACAGGGACACCATCACCTCCTCCAATAGTCCATTCTTCCCCAAGTATACAAACCAAACAGAACTCTTTACGTTGAATGGATCCATACCCACTATCAGGTCTAAACTCTCCTCCCTCGACTACTGAGAACTGGTAAGGAAGACTGGGTGTGTTGATGGGAGCTATAGCAAACTTGAGATGACGACTAAGAGCTGGTCGTCCTGTTAAATCAATGCAGTGCTGTATCTCTAACTTGAGTCGTTTGAGGAGAGGCTTTGAGAGTGATACTGCATACACAGCACTCACTAGGACAGTATTAGGAGGAAACTGGAACTGTCCTACAAGAGCAACCACTGCTGCTTCTACTGTCTCAGAGGGTAATAAGGTATTTTCTTGTACTCCAATCCTTAGACCATATTTCTCCCAATTCATCAGTTGAGGTTTGTCTCCTTGAATTAAGAACAGCCTCTTCTCTGCTACCTGGATATCACTCAGACAATCCAAATTATCTATCAATTGTATACAATATATACCAGTACACTCAGTCAGTGAAACAATAAAATAAAGTCAAGTCTGGTATATGGTATAGCTTGAAATTTTTGTGGAACGTAAATTATGTGGTTTTTGTGGTTATGGGCTGCCCACAAAATTTAAACCCACGAATCATTGAAGTGCCATCCCTTACAGGCTATGTAAACTGTCAAC